GACCATGCTTTATGACAGTTTCCCCAAAAACCCCCGCCACTTGCTTCCAATTTTTGGCAAAACTGTGCCATAGTGAACAAGGAATACACTTAACAATGGCTGCAAAAAAAGTTATCAAATTGCCCTGAGACCAACTTGTTTTATATCACCATTATGGCTTATGTCCATAATGGGAAGGCTTCATTATGGACGTAACTCAAGGACTACCTATACCATGATTCATTATTCAGCTTGCACTTTCAACGAACCACTGTTTAAATTGTGGTACACAAAGCCTGGCTCTCTAATGAATCTTAAACGTGCTCCTTTGTAATTCATACTAAATTGTTTCGCCTCTATTCCCTAGAAGAATCATGCAGAATAAGCAGAATTTACTTCTCGTGATTTATAAAGGCCGCAAGATGTTGCTTTATTTAGCTTAAAAGGTTGGCCTTCCCTGCGTTACTCAGAAATTCTGACCATAACTTGTAAGGTTGCTTATTCAACACAGAAAGGGTCTGTTTGGCAATTCAGGCTCCCTTTCTGCATATTTTCTACAAGGAGTAAAGCCCTCCAAAGGTGATGGTGCATACGAGCTGTTTCCTATTGTGCATTGTAATTATTTGTTATAATAGGGAATAAAGGCTTAATTAGCTTCCAAGCTGCAGATATGATTTAATTAGCTCTTGCGCTGTATGCACAAGCACCTGTCTAGGTAAAACCAGAGCTTGCTTATTCCCTTCTAAGAAAGACTAGATGGGCAGCTTGCAATGGATTGGTTGATGTTTATGCCACCTTTATTATTTTTATAAATAACTCAAGACCATGTTTAAGGTGGGATTCGAATTCACAGTCTCCTAGTGGATTGGCCCAAAGTCACCCAGCCAGCTTTGATGCCTAAGGTAGCACTAGAATTCAGAGTTTTCCAGGTTTCTAGCCTGGGGCCTTTACACCAAACTGACTGTGTAATTAAAAAGAAAGAGCTAAACAAAAGAAATTATGAAGAAACAAACCCCCCAAAATATGCTTATTAGAGCATAGCGCACTGTGCTTGGAAGCACAAAGTAGCCTGAAATGTTTTAAGGAAGAGGAACAAGGATTTATAGTCTTCGACTGACTGCTCAAAGACTGTTTAGATTTATGCACCCTCTAAGAGAACGTAAGTGATAAGAAGTAGCATTAATTCCTTTTTAAAATAAGATCTGGCTTCCTTCTGAGATAAAGGTAAGCAAGTGATTCATTGCTGATAGTTGTGGGAGGAAAGGAAGGAGGGCTGCAGAATTTAAGCACAGCATCTAGAAGATGACCTCTCTGTCTCTCCTTGTTGGGTGGCAGTATTTAAATTAAAAGTCTTATTTTTAGAACTGCGGAGCACCTGCAAGGTATAGCCAGAAGGAACAAAACTTAAAAGCCCCGTGAAGGCTTCCCAGCTCTTATTGACAGAAACTTTTCCATGCCTGTTCTAAATTAATGCACTTCCGATGCATATAAAACAACTCAAGACTATCACAGCAGTTGGTTGATTTGAAGCGGCCAATGATATAATGCATATGAAGGCCACAAATCGACTTGGGACTAACTGTAATCTGAAGCCTCCCTTTGAGTCCTTCCCAATGCAGCTTCTCTATAAGAGAGTGGTTCTCAAATTTTGAGATCCTTTGAATTCCTAGAATAACTGAGAATTCCTGTTCCGTATAGACAGGTTTGCAGGTTTTGCTTAGTCTGTCTTTATTCCCAAAATGGCCTTCCCTGTGTTGTTTTTTTTGCTGGAGTCAGCAAGTAGGACAACAAGCCTTGTTGAAGCCTAAATGTTCTTGCTGCTGCTTCTTGAAATGACACCCAGGATCAGCATCAAGATCCAGCAATATCCTCCTCTGAAAAAGATACCCTTGGAAGGATAAGAAACAAGATTGGAACAGGACACTAGAAAGATCTGGTCGGGTTGCATTGGCTCTGACACCAATCCAGTTTTACACTTCACCCCTGACTTTCAGGCTGGTTCTGGATCCCGGCAGGAGATCTAGCCAATCTAAACAGAGAAGAGACCTTGTGTGATTTACAGGAAGGTGGTAGGCATCACCCAGTGGATTTATCGTTTTATGGGATCAGCGTACCACAAACTTTGAGATCCACTGACTTTTGGAGATGCTGCATTGGAGGGAACTAATTGGGGTGGGTAGATCACTCTGTCTATCCCAAGGAGACCTACAGGACACATCTAGATGTTTGAGTTGGTCTACTAGTTCAGCTTATGAACAGTATCTATCAATAATTAGCTGCTGCACATCTGCCATATTTGGAGGTGAACTGCAGCTGAAAGTAGGAAAAGCCGTCATTAAAGTGAATCCAGCTCCTTCCATTAAACTTTACTTGTTGGGTGGGAAGGTTGCAAATGGTGACCATGTGACCCCCCAGGGACATGACAACTGTCAAAAATACACATCAGTTGCCCAGCTTTGGATAAGGTGATCATGGGGATGCTACAACAGTCATTAAGCACAAGAACTGGTTGTAAGTCACTTTTTTCTCAGTGTGTTTATAACTTTGAATAGTCGCTAAATGAATGTTTGTAATTAAAGGACTACCTGTATCCTTTTTGCCATTGTTTAAAGGGTACATCACCTGGTCAGAACAGGTATTATCTGGAAAAAAACACACATCCTTTAGGTGAGATATTCATTTTTATCACAGTAGTTCTCCCCAACAACGGCAGTTTTAATTCCTCCCATCTTAACATGTCCTTCTTTAATTTCATTCCATCTCTTTTAACATAATTAATTCATGGCCTCCTGGGTTTTTGGTCTAGCACCTTAACTACTGAGTAAACTGGTTCTGTAATGGTTCTTGCTTGTTTTTCCCCAGATTATCCCCGATACTTTATACCAGTGTTTTTCTAACTTGGAAACTTTTAAGAGGCTGGATTTCAACTCTCTGAATTCCTCAGCCAACTTGGCTAACTGTGGAATTCTGGGTGTTGAAGCCACATATCTTCCAAGTTGCCAAGTTTGAAAACCACTGCTCTACACCCACATGCGAGGCTCTTATACCTGTTTATTTGCATATAACAACATCCCATCCAAGGTAGAGTTTTTCAAAATTAAAAGAGTCAATTTTACTTACTACAGGATTAGAGAAACGATTACTTTTGGGAAGCAAAAAAACAACACAGAATTTAAAAGAAGATCTCCTAAATTTTACCGTACTTCCTCCAAATATTTTCAGCGCCTACCTCTGTTCCCTCTGCCCCCCCCACCCCCAAATCGAATACAGTAACCAAATGTTTGCAGACCAAATTCCCACCTTCAAACCAAAGAGCCGGCTAAACCATTAACCCCCATTAAAACGAAAACAAAAAAGTTACCAACTGCTTACCATTTTATTCCATTAAAAAAAAAAAAGCATGAGAGGCAGTTTTCATTAAATGACAACTTTTGGAAAATGCGCCAAATTCTCCCCCCCCCCCCCCCCACTTCCCCTCCAATACACAACTGCCTTCCTCAAAAGAAGGCAGCAGGACTGAATGGGTCACAGGGCAATGGATAGCTAGCAGCAAAGAACCGCAGTGTAATACAAATGCATATTATCCTGCATTGGAGCGCCAGGTGTTTAGCTATGTTTCCCACACACCCTTTTTGTTCCTTTCACAAAGAGAGCTAGACACACTAGCAGTTGGTTTGCAAGCTGCCCGCTAGCCCCCTGCTCCCACAGCCCAATGTGCACCCTCTTTAAAAATCTGCAGGCACCTTTTAAAAAAAACAACCAAACAATCCCAAATCTCACTTTCTTAAGTGACGTGTTTGTATGTTTGTGTGTGTGTGTGTGTGTGAGAGAGAGATAAATCCAAGAACGGTCGGTATGATTTCTCACCGCTGTGCAAATGCAACTTTGCAAACATGGGAAGCTGCAGGGCAAAACCCCAGAGGGCAGCTGGTGATAAATGAAAATGCAGAGGAATTCCTACTAATAGTAAATCTATGCAGAAGGGATAGGACCTTAGTTGTTTTTTTTTCTTGCACCCCAAACCCCCGCCATTCCTCAACTTGTCTCCTACTTCCTACAGCTGGCTCTCTCTCTCTATTTCATACAATCTTTTACAACTTCAAAATCGGTCCAAAATCAACAAGGATTGTGATGGAATAGTCAGTCCAAAGGTAATTGGGTTTTAGCACTGTTGAAGATGTGTTTGCAAACACTCGCCAGCAGGGGGACCACTAAGCGCTGGCTGAAAGCTCAGCCTTCAATGTAATCAATGAGGCAATTAAACAAAGAGAATTAACAATACACCTCTGGGTGGAAAGTAATGCATTATTCATTAGCGTGTAGCAACAGTGCCCCCAGGCCATATTTGGGGCCAGTTTCCACATGATTTTTCTATTCAAAACAGGCGCTTATGTACAGCAGGTAAGGTAGCCTCCTTGGTTGTTAAAGGAGGAACAGGCCAAGAATATTTTGCAAGACAGTAAGACAGTAAGCAACATGTTAGCCCCTTGAGGTCTTCAGGACATGGAAGGAGGCGTGGGTTAATGGTAAAGCATGCACTTCCTAGGTCAAAGGTCTTTAGGATTGATTTCTAATATCTCCAGATAAAGTTGAACATTCCTTGGCTGATGGAACCCAACATGCCTGCATGAACTGGACAGGTAAGAGCCCCCTAAGAGAAGACAGTCCTTAAGGTGAGAATGATCTTATGTATAATCTCCAAACTTTTCTCTATGGGAGGTGCGGAAGGGAGGGTGAAGGGCTACATGTCCTATCTACTTTGGGGATATTGGTTGGGGGGAAAACATTTTAAAGCTTTACAGAATTCCTAGTTTGCTCCGATTGTGCAATTTGACAGCTGGCCAAACAAACTGCTCTTGCAACATGAAGGCCTTTATCCAAATACAGATTTTTCACTCCTGCTTTTGTGTCCCCTCTTTGTAATTTGACTTAAACAAATAGTGGAAAATATGTTCCCACACATAAATTAACACATGAAACTACTTGCCTAAGAATTATCTTGACCTGTTTCAACAAATGAGGTGCGTTGCATTGTATTCTAGAAAATAGTTAAGACCAGTGTTTTCAATCTCAGCAACTTTAAGATGGGTGGACTTCAACTCCCAGAATTCCATGCCAGCTGGAAAATTCTGGAAGGAAGGGAGGAAGGAAGCAGAGAGGGAGAGGAAGAGAGAGAGGAAACAAGGAAGGCAGGAGGAAAGAAGGGAGGGAGGAAGAGAGGGGGAGAGGGAGGGGGAGGAAGGAAAGAAGGGAGGACAGGAAGGAAGAAGGAAGGATGGGGTGGGGAAAGGAGACAGAGAGAGAGGGAGGGAGGATGAAAGAAGGGAGGGAGGGGAAGGAAGGAGGGAGAAAAGGAAGGGGAGAGGAAAGGAGAGGAAGGAAAGGGGGAAGGAAGAAGAAAGGAGGAAGTGAAACAATGGAGGAAGGAAGGAAGAAGAGGAGGAGGAAGGGAGAGGGGAGCAGAAGGGAGGGAGGAAGGAGAGAAGTTAGGGAGAGGGGAGGTAGGGGGAGAGAGAGTGAGGAAAGATGAAGGAAGGAAATGGAGGGAGATACAGGAAGAGAGACGGGGAGAAACAGGAAGTAAGGGAGTGGAATAGGAGGAGGAAGAGAAGAATAGGAAAAGGGGGAGGGTAGAAGATGGTGAGGGAGAGAGGAAAGAAGCAGAGGAAGTGGAGGGGAGGGAGGGAAGAAGGGAATACAGGGAAAGGCAGGAAACAGGAAGTAGAAGGGAAGGGAAGAGGGAGGAAGAAGGAAGGGGACAGGGAAGTAGGGAGAGAGAAGGAGAAAAGAGGAAGTGGAGGGGGAGAGGACAGAGAAAGAGGGAGAGGAAGTGAGGTTTGAATGAAGGAAAGAGAGGAAGAGGAGGAGGAGGAGAAGGGAAGGACCGGAGGGACAGACAGGAAGACAAGGAGGAGGAGATACAGGGAGAGAGAGAAGGAGGAAACAATAAGGAAGAGGAAAGAAATGGTGGGAGGAAGGGAGGAAGAAGGAAGAGGGTAGAAGGATGGAAGGAAGAAAGGGGCGGTAGGGGAGAGAGGAAGTGGAGGGAGGAAGTGGAGTGAGAGGAAGTGGAGTGAGAGAGGAAGTGGAGGAAGAGAGGAAGTGGAGGAAGAGAGGAAGTGGAGGGAGGAAGTGGAGTGAGAGAGGAAGTGGAGTGAGAGAGGAAGTGGAGGAAGAGAGGAAGTGGAGGGAGGGAGAGGAGGCAGCAGGAGAGAGGGAGAGGAAGTGAGGTTTGAATGAAGGAAAGAAGATGAAGGGAAGGGAGGAAGGAAGGAGGGAGGGAAGGAAGGAAGGGAAGTGGAAGGGAGGGAGAACCTGGAAGGAAGTTAGGAAGGAAAGGTTAGAAGGAAGAGGAGGGGAGGTAGGGAGTGAGGAAAAGGTAACTAAGCAAGTGGAGGGGAGGGAATAAAAGAGGAAGGAAGAAGGGTCTAAGAGGGAGAGAGGGATGAAGTTAGAGGTGGAGGGAAGGAATGGAAGAGCAAGAGAAAGGGAGGGAGGGAGGAAGGAAGGAGGAAGAGAGGGAGAAAGAGGAAGGAAGGGAGGCTGAATGGAAGGGAAGGGAGGAAGGAACAAGGGAGGAAGCCACGAAGAAAGGAAGGAGGGAGGGAAGGGAGATAAGAAGGGAGAGGTAGAGAGTGTGAGGAAAGAGGAAGTAAGGAAATGAAGTGGAGGGAAGGAGAAAGGAAGATAGAAGTGGATAAGATGGAGGGAGGGAGGAATTTAGAGTAGGTGGCAGGAGGGAGAGGGAGAGAGAGAGGAAGGGAGGGAGGCAGGAAAGAAGACAAGGGGGAAAGGAGGAAGAAGGAGGAGGTGAGGTAGGGAGTGGGAGGAATGAAGAAGGAAGGAAGTGGAGGGAGGGGAAGGAAGGAAGAAAGGAAGAAGGGGAGGGAGGGATAAAGTTAGAGGTGGCGGGAATGAAGGAGGGAGGGAGGGATCTGAAATCATCAGAAGCAGAATGCACCCATTTTATTTAAGGCTGCAAAGATGGACTTTTTACACTTCAAAACATCTGGAAAATTGGGGGAACCCAATTGTCTCTACATGAAATATTATTTTGCATTACAGTTTGCAAGAAGCTGCTGCATTTTCAAAGTTAGCATTTGACTCTGATCAGATAACTTCCCTGAGTAATGATCAATCATCGCTACCCAAAAGTTTACTCATTAACAGAAGTGAAGAAAGCTTTTTTTTTAAAAAAAAAAAGCTGGCAGTATTACAACTTCCATGTTTCAGCTGATTTTGAGGATTCAGGTGATCTTTTTTTTTTGCAATGTTTCAATTTTTTTTTAAATCCCCCTTTAAACAGAATGGTGCCACAAACACCTCTCATATTATTTTATTTAAAGTTTTCAAAGCCCTAAAAAGCCAGCGTTTAATTCTTCATATTAACTTGTTGATGGGCTTGTTAAACAAGTTGGTACATGCAAAAAAGCAAGTGGTGCTTTAAATCTAGTCTAACTTTAATTTTAATTTAAAGTCTCCCACTTAAATGAATGTATCATTTAACCTGCCATCTTGACTTTTTTGACCTTAATCTGCAACGCCCATAAGCAGAAGCAAACCACAGTTTCAAACTTGGTGCTTCCTTGAGCACTGCCTGGCTCAGGTGTGGTTGCACCTGGGGGGGACTTTTAGTAGAAGCCTGCATTTCATCACTCGGCTACAACTTTTCCAATTTATTAATCTAACACTTCAACAGTGCTTTATCTGAGGCCCATTTTGCCCAGAGGGGGAATAGAGGTTGTAGAAGTAGCTTATCCTACATTACCGTGCAGCAATTCCGTGACTAAGAAGGGATTTAAACCTTAGTACTGAAAATTCATCTGTAACGCAGACGACAACACTTATTTCAGCTTCTAACCCAGAAGACATCTTAATGACATCCTGGTTTTAAGATATCAATTAATATGTTATAGATATCCAAATTCTGAGCCAGTTTGTTTTAGTGGTTATAAAGCACACAGCTAGAAACCAGGAGACGTGTGAGTTCTAGTCCTGCTTTTAGGCATTAAAGCCGGCTGGGTGACTTTGGGCCAATCACCTGGAGACGGTGAGTTCTAGTCCCACTTTAGGCATGAAACTTAATCGGGTGACTGAATCAGTCTCTCTCTTTCTCCTTAGCCCAGCCTACCGCACAGGGTTGTTGTGAAAAACGGGAAGAGGAAAGATTAATATATTCACCACCTTGAGTTATCTATAAAAATAATAAGGATGGTATTTAAAAGAAGGTCTAAATCTAAATCAATAATAAATACTTTTGCCCAATAGGCATATTGTACCACCCAGTTTCAAGAAGAAACAGTGATTAGCTGCAGGCTCAGAGAAGGCACCGCATGCAAACCCCGGTTAAATTTCCAGAAGCCACAAAGTTGATTGCCAAAGATGCATTTCCACATTGCCGAATTCAGCGGAGGGCGGAGGGGAAGTAGCTTCCCAGGGTGAGCCGAGGACAGGAAGAAAACAATTTGTCCCGTTTTCCCAGGATAGGTGAGCGAAGGTAACAGGGCAGGAACCAACCACACAGCACTCTGGGGCACTTTGTGCAATCGGAATTTGTAAAAGATGCAACAATGCTCATTTCAAAAAGGGATTGATTTATTGAGGGCAGGGAGGTTGGTTTCCTGGTTTAGATCCTGCCAATCAGATTCTAGTCACGGTGGAGAAAAGCAGAGCTGATCCAATGCATTAACTCACCTACAGCATGCCAGGCCTCCGTGGGAAAGTGTCCCCTTCTCCCAAAAGAGATTCGCTGCGTGAACCAGGAAAAGGGTCTACCCTGCAGAGCAGATGCACTACACGGCACCAGTTTCTGATCCAGACAACAACAACAACAAAAACCCTCGTTAAATTGCTCCCTGCAGTTTTGAGGCCGTTGGGTGTTCGGTGTTCGATTACAAAGTGAAATAAGTTGCATAACCTGATAGGCAGAGCTTTGGGTTTTTTTCTTTTTTTTTAAAGCATAGCTAGATATAGGAACTTGCATTCCCACACACAACAAACTTCAGCTGGAAATACTAGAATACCGAGCTGCCCGCCTGCACGGATCAGAAGTGTGGCGGAGACCAAAAGTGTGAGACCAGGATTAATGCCACTGTTTACACCCTCATGGGCTGTCGAGGTTATGATGTTGGGCCAACATCAGGGAGAGAACCTGCGTTCAAGTCCTACCGCCAGCCCGAGAAGCTCCCCAGGTGACTTAAGGACAAGCTCCTTGATCTTCCTTTCTCCCTCAGCCCAAACTACCTCACAGGGTTGTCGTACTGGAAGAAACAACCATAAAGCAATTGAAAGGGGAAACTGCAGGTGTATGTCAGTGTCCCAATTCAATAGGTTTTTCTCAAAGGACAAAGGTAGTCCTTGACCACAACGGAGCCCAAAATTTATGTTGCCAAGGTGAGAAATCTGTTAAGTGAGTTCTGCCTCGTTTTATGACTTTAATTGCCACCTTCGCTAATGGAATCCCTGCAATTAAGTTAGTCGCAAGGTTCTGAAGCCAATCCGGCTTTACCCATTGACTCTACTTGTCAGAAAGTTGCAAAGGGGGGGATCCCGTGGACCCCCCCCCCGGGGGGACACAGCAAGTATGAACCCATGGCCAAGCTTATCCGAATGTGAATCACAAGACCACGGGTATGTGGCAACGGTCATAAAGCGTGAAAAATGGCCATAAGCCTCCTTTTTTCCGTGCCACTGTAGTTTCGATCGATCGAACTGTTGTTAAGTTGGGGACTAACTATACTTTTGTCTGAATGGGCCTTTATGGAAGGTAGGACAATTATTTTTAGAGCAACCACCGGAATCAGCCCATCCTCCCTGCGTGCCCTTCCCTTCCCACAAAGGAAGGAAAGCGGGGGAGGGTAGAGTGGGGTGTTATTTAGATTAAGGGGGATTAGGGAAACTATAAACCCGCCCCCTTCCCCCCTTGCCAATACTATCTCTTTCCCATCTTCCATGTCAGAGTTAAGCATGGGATAAACCTTGTTTGCTGCCAAATTCCCAGAGACAAAAAGGCGAGGGATTTCTTTTTTCTCTTTCTTTTGAAATGTTGACGCATTAACCTCTTCCCCCTTTCTTTAACTTAAAGAGAGTCTTTTGCTAAAGAGATTCCCAAAAACTACCAAGAGTATCTTCCTCAACCCAGCCCTCCCCCGCCCCAGCCCGGAAATTCCCCATCAAGGCATGCTGTACTAAGCCTTCCTCGGTTCGTTAGCTCTTAAGTTTGTTAATTATTATATTTTTATCCCGCCTTTATTACTTTATAAGTAACTCAAGGTGATGAGCGTACGTAGTAACTCTTTCCCCTTCTATTTCCCCCACAACAACTACTAGAATCGGTTTCTTCCTGAAAAAGTCAACCAGGGGTCCCCAAACTTGGCAAGTTTAAGACTTGTGGACTTCAACTCCCAGAACTCCTGAGCTAACATAGCTGGAGGAGGAATTCTGGGAGTTGAAGTCCACAAGTCTTAAAGTTGCCAAGTTTGGAGACTTCTGGTCTAGTTCTTATATGATGGTTAACAAAAGTACAGGTTCTCGACATACCACAATTGAGCGCCACGTTTCTGTGGCTAAGCAAAACATTGGTTAAGTGAGTTTTGCCCCAGTTTATGACTTTTTTTGCCATGGTTGTTAAGTGAATCACTGCAATTGTTACATTACTCACATAGTTGTTAAGTGAATCTGGCTTCCCACCCCCCATTGAGTTTGCCTGTTGGAAGGTCAGAAAAAGGGATCCCAAGACCCCCGGGGACTCTGCAACTGTCATAAGTACATGCCAGTTGCCCAGTGCCTGAATTTTGATCACGTGACCTTAGGGATGCTGCAATGGTCTCAAGTGTGAAAAACAGTCGTAAGTCACTTTTTTCAACGCTGCGATAACTTCAAATGGTCATTAAACAAACTGTTCTAAGTCAAAGACCATCTGTATTTGGACAAGAGCTTGAAGGTGGTTTGCTTCTGCCTTCCACACACCATGTTTAAACATCCAGAAGAGAAAAAGATGTTTGAATCAACAACAAAAGGCATTCCTGAGCTAACAAGACTGGGGGAGGAATTCTGGGAGTTGAAATCCACAACTTAAAGTAGCCAAGTTTGGGGACCCCTGGTCTAATCTATTCTTAAAAACCTCCAGTGTTGGAGCACCCACAACTTCTGGGGGCGATTTGTTCCACTAATTAATTGGAAAATTAAAAGTTCTTCACGTCCATAAAAAACAGGGAGAGAATTTCGGAATTCTATTCTCTTTCGATATAAATAACTTTTCTCTTGTTGAATTCCTACCACCTCATTCCCTGTTTTATTCTGAGTTCATTTGATAACCAGGACACCACAGGGTGCCTTGAAAATAAATACTGAGTCAATTATAAATACGTTGGAATGCTAGGAAGGACCCCCATGGAATGCGGTGAAGTGATAAATGATAAAGAGAAAAAGACTTGCTGTATTTAAGGCTCCAATCTTCAACTCTAATTCCCCCCCCACCAGGAGTATTACAAAACAAGAAAATGAAAAGTGGGTTTTCTTCTTCACTTTCTTCATTTTTGTTGCTTCCTTTTCCTTATTTTACTAGGACTCAAGAAATGACATTTATTTTTAATCATTTCTGGTCCTTCCACATACCTTCAATTAGTGAAGTTATAATGGCCCTTAAAAAAGTGACTCATCACCATTTTTCATGCATAGGAGCATTGCATAGCATCCTTACGGTCATGTGATCAACAGGACATAAATGTTGGGTCAATTGTGGTTGCTAAGTCGAGGACCGCCTGCATGCAAAATAATCTTCAGGATTTCAGTTACTGAAACGAAACATTTATTCGTGATGGCCTAATATACTATTCCATGGAGTATTAATTCTTCCTCTGCAAACTGACTACACTTTTTTTCCAAAATAAGCATAAAATAAATACAGGCTCTTTATAGCTCACAGGGTTCATATTCTGAGCCATGGACTCATCCTTTAAATGTCGTAAAAGGAAAACGCAACCACCCCAGGATATACACTAAGCTGGTGTTTTCCTTATTGTGCAAAGGGGAGGCCTGAAGGAAACAAGAATTACACAAACAACGACAAAAACCCAACTCTGTATTAACAGAAAATAAGCTGGGTCTTCCCTATAAAGCAAGATCTTGCTCTTGCTCATGTGCAAATAGATATAAGTAAACATGAGCCAAGAAAAAAAATGCTATACTCCTATAGATGGAGTTGTGTGTGTGTGTGTGTGTGTGTGTGTAAGTTAAACAGAATGGTTGGCTGGAAAGGAGCATTCATGGAAACAGATTGTGATTCTCTTTCACTCCTTTATTGCAGAAAAGCCCTAACTGTTTTCATTCTGCCTTCTTTAAAATAGTAGCTTGAGCATCGAGGATCCAATGGAAATTTAACAAAAATAAAATAAAAGATTATTTCTCTACGACCTTCCAAGGAAAACACTGATGAAAGCCAGCCTAAAAACCCCATTTCTCCAACCCACTTGGGTGTCAAATAATGTGCTTGTAAACAAAAGTAATCAAAATAGCCTACAGGCAGACTCTTAATGACTATATTAAAGACATATAATTAAACAGCAACATTTGGTAGCAGCAAATATATCTCCCCGCCTAAAGTGCAGCTGCTGAATGCTGTCAACTCCTGCCACTAACAGGCAGCCAAGGCATTCCAGAGCAGCGTAGGAGAACTGCTCTTTACAATTTGATGGTATGATCAAAAGCACGCTTGGGCTGGGTGTAAACAGAAGATTTGGTTCCTGTCCCAGCTATTTTGGACTCCACATCAGTGTTTCTCAACCTTGGCAACTTGGAAGAGGAGTGGACTTCAACTCCCAGAATTCCCCAGCCTGCCAATCATTCCTCAATCTGCACACCAACCCTTGCAATGCATTAATAACACGGTTTAGTTTTTAACTGGAAGGAAAATTAAAACGATGATTAAATATGCAACGCACAGCAGTAGTTCAGTTTACTTACTTAGCTGGCTTACGGGACACTCCATCCAACGACAGACTTTTATATAAAACAGTAAAAGCAAACATGTTAGTTAGAAAGCTTTCGTGCCACTGGGGAGTGGGTTGCTGGTACTGAAAAGATAAGTTACTTTTTTTTTAATGGTTTAGATTACAATTTCAATATTAACAAGGGAGATAAACCAAAATAAGTTCCTTGGGGACTAAGAAATGACCTGTAAACAAACTGCAACAAGGATTCCTGTATTGCACCAATCTCAATCCTTGTTAGCTTTATCCCAAAATTGCAGCTACCTAGTCAAACTTGGCTTCTTAGGTCAGTGTCAAAGTCATAGAAACTTTTCTACCTCATGACATCTAGCATCTTATCTACAGCTTTGCATTTCTATTTTGACCCAAGGGAGCGGATTTACAGAAAGCCATAAAACATTTTGTGCCCTGCACAAAAAGGCAAGGTTCAACTCACAAAACCTTGCATTAGCAAGGATTTTTTTTTTTCAGCTGGTTGCAATGCTGTGGGATATAATATCAAAGGTCATCTTTGTTCGCAAATGCCAATCTTTGCCTGCAACTTTGAAATCTGGATCGTCTTTGGATGCTTTTGCCTGCAAAAAAGTTTTAGCAGGGCTGTGATTTCAATATTGTTATGCTTTCAAAGTAAAAATAAATAAATGACCCTATGCACCGAACAATCAAACTATGGGATGCATAGCCTTAAAAGTGTGCAAAAAGGTTTATTTACTTAAGGAAATATCAAGAGGATTTCATAAGATGATAAAATTAATGGATAGTTTTCCCTCCATGGTGGCAATAAACTGGCTGGTTTGTTTGCACCTAACTTTCCAACAACTTGTAAAAAGTTTTAAGACACCTAACGGAATCTGCCCTTATCATAGATTCAAACAGAAGTAGAAGCTTTTAGCATCTCCCTTTCAGAAATGAATGCAGCAAGGTGAGGTCAGGTGTGGAAGGCCCTGCCCTGCAGTGATGTCATAGCATAAGCCTCTCCTTTTCCCATCTGTTATGATGATGCTGGCAGTGGGCTTTTTGCCAGTAAGAAATCAGTGAAATATTTTTATTTCACCATTCTCTGCTTGGAGTTTAAATAAAGCTGGGAATCACGTTTAGATAAATTTCCCTGCTCTCGGTCCATGTTTAGCATCCTAGCTCCTGCCCAGGTAAAGACACTGCTAAGAAATGTTACCTGGGCTTTAAAAGTGCTAGGAATACTACAGCTGCTCAGATCATTCCTGCTGGAATTACAGTCCACAACTCAACTTATGATTACCGTTGAGACCAGAAAATCTGTCATAAAGCAAAGCATCCTGTGACCATATCAGATCTTATAGCCCTTTTTGCCATGTTAAGCAAATCACTGAAGTCGTTAAGCAAAACATCACGACTGCAACTAGCAATCTTCCCAGAACTCAAGTCTCCTGGTGATTGGCCCAAAGTCACCCAGATTGCTTTCGTGGGACTAGAACTGTTGCCTGTTATTGGCCCAAAGTCAGCTAATTATTTTTTGTGCCTAAGGCAGGACTAGATCTCAGTCTCTCCTGCTGATTGGCTGGAAGTAACCCAGCTGGTTTCATAACTAAGGTGGATTAAAATTCACAGGCGCCTGGTTTCTAGGCCAGTCCATTAACCACCACATCAAACTTCTTTTTCTTTTCTTTTGGCCCAATTTTTAAGGTATTAATGTGTACTTAGGACTGCATAATGTGGACGTTTTAATGTTGGTTCTAGAGGCAGCGGTAACTTCCCGTCTAATTGTTATTAAGGGTAACTGATTTAATTGCATTTTAAATTTCTTTTATACTACCTGAATTTTATCTTTTAACATTTTGCAAGCTATCCTTTTATTTGATAGCGTAGAATATAATATCTTGCAAACAAGCAGAGAAATTAATGAATAGGTTGCATTGCTTGTGCTGGTATCAGGAATAGATTTAAGCAAGACCTCCACAGAACAGGAATTCTTTTGTAATCAATTTCACACACCTCCAACCTGCAGGCAGGAAAAAAAAGAGGCAGCGGGGAATTAAAATTATAGCTACCAAACTTTACAGGAGAAACGCCAGCTGCATTCAGCAAAAAGAAGTAGGGAGAGGAAAAGAATGAGAGGGAAAAAATAAGAGTGATAATACTTTCAAAACAAAGAATATTTTCTCCCTATCCAAGTATATCTGTTCCCTGGACAAGTCAGCAGAATTTTAATTATCCTGACTTTTTTTTTTTTTTTGAGATTACAGTTTGCAGGAATGGATGGGGGTAGGGGTTGCGTGTGTGTGTGTGTGTGTTTGGGAAAAATAATGCATTCTTTCTTTCTTCCATTTCTTTTAATTCCTATTATCTGGGTTGGAAGCCTGAGGACTATATAAGAATGTGCCCGAGATAAGCGTCTGGAAGCGAATGTTTGCATAACTCCACCCGTCTTTCTACCAATGAAAGATAGGGAAAAGTAAGGAGGTGCATCTCTCGAGATCAGTTATAAAGCAGAGAAGGGCAAAAAGAGCACTTTTGAAAAGAACGTCGAGGCTTTGAATGGGTATGGCAAAGAGTTAAACCCCAGGAATGACGATGGCCGGGGGTCTGTGACCAGGAAGGAGAGATTAGGAGTTTGAAGGAGTGAAATAAAGTCCTTGCAGGTAGTCTGACTTGCAGCCACAACTGAAGCCAGCCTTTCCATGGCTAAGCAAGGCAGTAGTTAACCAAACTTTGCCCCTTTTTACAACCTTTCTTGCCCCAGTTGTTAAGGGAATCACTGCAGTTATTAAGTCGGTAACAGGCTTATTAAGCGAATCTGGCTTCCCCGTTGACTTTGCTTTTCAGAAGCCTGCAAAAAGTGATTCCGGGGCTTTAATATACATTGGTTTCCAAGCATCTGAATTTTGTTCACGTGACCATGGAGGTCTTAAATGTGGGGGGAAAAAAAGTCATTTTTTTCAGTGCTGTTGTAACTTCAACCATTCATTAAATGGATGGTTGTAAGTTGAGTTATGACTGGTTGCCTAGTAAACATTTGAAGTTCCAACACACCTACATACAACGATCAAAGTTCTGGTGGTGGAGCCTCCTGTGGCCATATAACCTCACTTCAGGCTGCGTTTATGGCCATTAGTGAGAGGTCACATGAGCATGTTTTGCGATGTTCTCGCTGGCACTAACTTCCACTTTTCAGCCAAAGCAAACCCATAGCAAACCATTGGTTCACTTAACTCCAAGATATTTTGCTTAACCACCCCTGCAAAAAAGGTCATAAAATCAGATCAGTCGTGTTAGAAGTGGGGAATAGAAAAGGGGTAGCAACAATCTGATTTATTTTCCACCAAACTCTTATTTTGCAAATTATCACTACTTGTGCTAACTCGTGCATGTATTACATTCAGATCTTGTCTTCCTTCCAGGGACACAAATCAGGATAACTCCTATTCTCTCCAAATTTGCCCAACATGAAGAGAAAGAGAGAACATTTACCGTGATCTCATCACTTCCTGGATGAAGACGGATCTGAATGGACCTTAATGGACTTATTTTCACCACTAATTATCTCATCCTGCCTCTTAGACATTTTCTGGAGGCTACTGAACTACAGATCCCAGCATTTATCACTGCTGTTAATTGTTGTGGCTGTTGGAAACGGTGGTTCATCAATACATTTGCACATGTTTGTTGCACATGTTTGTCTTAAGAGAATCTTTTGGAATTTCAGACCACTTCGTAAAACTTTTTATCCTGCCTCTATTTTTATGATAAATATGATGGCAAAATATACTCTTGCTTCCTCCTATTTTCCTTAAACAACCACCCTGTGAGGTGGCTTGGAATGAGAGAGATTGACTGGCTCAAAGTCACTCAGCCAGCTTTCATGCCTAAGGTGGGACTAGAACTCACCACCTCCTGATGTTTGGCCCCAAATCACCCAAGTGGCTTTCATGGCTAAGACAGGATTAGAATTCACCACCTCCTATTTGCTAACCTGATGTCTTATG